CTCTCTCTCTCTCTCCCTCTCTCTCTCTCTCTCTCTCTCCCTCTCTCTCTCTATATATATATGGTGCTGAGGATTGAACCCAGGGCCTCCCATGTGGTAGGTGAACACTCTACTGCTAAGCCACAACCCCAGCCCCCTAGGGCAGTTTTTGAAAGGCAGAATGGGGGCTGGGGCTGTAGCTCAGTGGTAGGACACTTGCCTCACACGTATAAGGCACTGCACTATATGAAAATAAATGAATAAGTAAAGGTATTGTGTCCATCTACAACTAAAAAAATATTTTTTAAAAAAAGGCAGAATTGTATAATGTAGAATCAAGAATGTCCTTGAAGGGACTGTAGAAGCACATGAAGGGACTGTAGAATTCTTGTGCTTCTTAATCCATGAAATGGGATAATTATATTTAAGTGTTCGGAGTGTCTTGAGGATTTCCATTCATTTTAATAAATGTTTATTGAGCATCTCTAATGTTTACTGTTAGTTACTGGAAATTTAGAAATGATTGGCACATGATCCCTGGCTTCAGGGATCTTACTTTTGTTGGGCATGGTGCTGTATACTCAGCTACTTGGTAACCTGAGGCAGGAGGATTACAAGTTCAAGGCAAACCTGGGCTAATTAGCATGATCCTCTTTCCCTACAAAAATGTTTCCTTTTTATGATTAAATCAGTGTAATAAATTTTATAGGCACATTGTAGAGATAYGGAACATTGAAATACTTCGAGAATGGAGTGATCCTCTATGGTGGGTGATGGGTTTAGTGAGTCACAGAACATGTGATAGAAAAGCTGGATCTTGAAAGGTGGTAAAGAGCATTCCAGGTAGAAGGAGCAAAGGCCCCACAGAAAGCTCTCTGGACATAATTGAGTTTAATTCAAGCTGTGCTGGTCTTGAGATGTCATGAAACAACAAAATTAAAATGTCTAGTAAGCGCTTTGTCATTCCAATGTTGATTTCAGATTTCTGGGTTTAAGCAGCAGACTATTCTGTCATCTTGGTATCAGTGGAAGCCAGTGGAACAAATTGTTTATTTTAGTTCTGCAAACCAAGACTAGAATTTTGCAGGGAAACATTGAAGGACTGGAAAAATTAAGAGCAGCCAACAAAAAAGACATGGAGGAAGCCACGAGATGAGACTTAATAAAAGACAGAGAAAGGACTGTTCAAACCCAGAGCATGGATTAAGAATTATAAAGATAGAAGAAAAAGAAATGAGCATTGAAAGGACATAACTAAGTTGACCAATTAGAAGGGCATTAGTTTCTTTGCCAAAAAGTTTCAGAGGAGCGTTCAGATTTGGAAGCCCAGTATTACTGAGTTAGAATAATAAAATGGAGAGTCAGAAAGGAAACAGCAAATGTAGATTACTTTTATGAAAAGCTTGAGTRTGAATGAAAAACTAGAGAAGTCACACAGTCTCCATCAATAGTTTGTAAGAGCCAAATATTTTTGTATTTTATGCCTCAGGGAAGTATCTAATATAGGAAAAAGTTAAAAACTGAAAAAAAAAGAGGTAAGTGGAGAAAGTTTCTAGAGATCATTGACAGAGCTGGGATCAAAAGAACAGGTAAAAGGATTTAAATTGAAATAGGATAGGGAGACATTTTTTCCTAATGCTGGAGGGAAAAAACTCCAAAGGTTAACATAGAAGTTTGAGGAAGAAAGACTTGATATTTGATAGTTACAATTTTTTCTTTGAAAGAGAGGATTATTTTATTTATAGGGGTGGTACTAGTGGCGGGGACTTGAAGAGAATACTGAAGGGTTAAAATGTTCCTCTGGGAAGGAGCTGAGACAAAAAAGTGCTGCGCAGCATGCTAGAGGCCTAGTTAAGATTGGGAGATTTCATCTGGAGTATGACCAGACTTTAATAATTGTATTGTTTCCTTTAGTAGTCTGAGAAGCCTGTCATAATAAWTCAAGAGGGTTTTCYTGATTTATGTCAGTGGAAGGACACRGAAACAAGATTGCTGAGAGCATTGGCTTGCAAGTGGGTTAAGTGATATACTATGAAGTCTAGGTGAGAAGAAGAGTGGGGAAGAAGTTGATGAGTGATGTGTTAGGATCATCAAGCATGATGATCACATATAATGGGAATAAGATAATTGGAAGATTACAAGGTTGCAGTAAGATTAAAGTTAATTTTATATTAAACCTAATATTAATTTTAGGTTTCAGAGATGAACAGTTTCTTAGTGTTAATATCAAGCTTAGTGCCTTGGTAATAATGGCTAAAGAACAGTTTGAAGATATTTAAAACTCAAGAAAGCAAAAATTTTGAGGAATAGTCATTGGATGAGTCACTGGCATCATTTGTAATAAAAAACTAGATAAGATACCATGTTTATTAATAGAGTGATGATGAACTAATAGCCAGGTGTTGAACTTCTGTGACTGAGAGGATCCTGGTAGATCATATGTTAGATGAGAGCATTGAGAATTAGTGAAAAGTTGTATTAGCCACATGATGTTAGTCTCAAAGAGCAGGCTCCACCCCCAACCCCTCTATTAGTGGAAAAATCAGTCATCTGTTAGTAGGAATGGAGATAAATTCTGATTCAATTAGTATATTTGGCATGGGAGTATAAAGAACATCAGGAAAATAAATGCTTTTAGGAAAGAAGTTAAATTTAAAGCAATAATGCAGAGAATACAAGGAAATTGTGAATGTTGGAAGTTTTGTTATTTTTGTTGTTTAAAATGACATTTGAAGGATTTCAGAAATAGAATGGGATCATTTCATTGTGGAAGAAGAATTGGATGATTTTGTTATTGAGATGGAATTTTGTTGAGTAATTATTTTGGTGTCTTAATAAAAAGGTTCTTATGGTTAGGGGAACATTTAGCTTATTCTTGGATAAGTGCCACTGGTTGAAAAATTACAATTCCCTACAATGGCTAGGATGCTTGTATTTGAATTAGAATTTAAGTTGTTTGGGAATAGTGAACATATATGTAATGCCTGGCACATAGTATTTTCTTAAAAAATGATATATGCTTTAGTGAAAAGAAGTTCTAAATTATGACTCTTATTTGAGTATAAATAGGTGTTTCTGAACTATTTGAAACTTAAAAGAAAATGTGTTCATCGGTGTGGTGACACATGCCTATAATCCCAGTGACTGGAGACTGAGGCAAGAGGACCACAAGTTCCAGGCCAGCCACAGCAACTTAACAAGGCTTTGTTTCAGAATAAAAAGGACTGGGGATGTGGTTCAGTGGTTAAGCACCTATAGGTTCAATCCCTAGCACCAAAAAAAAAAAAAAAAAAAAAAAAAAATCAAAACAAAACAAAAAATATTCTCCCCATTTAAAAAAAAATTAGTGTATAATTGTATGTTGTATTGGGGTTCATTTTGACAAAATCAAACATGCAAGGAATTTGATTTCAATCACCATTCCCCCATCTTACTCTTTTCTTCCTTTATTCTTCTTCCTCTATTCTACTGAGCTTCCTTTTGTYCCTTTATTTATTTTTGATTAGTACTTTATACATATACATAAAAGTGAGATTCCCTTTAGCACATTTATGTATGTATATAACATGATTTTGTTAAATTCATTCCTTATCTCTTCCCCTTTCCTTTCCTTCCTCCCTCTCGTTCTTCTGTTACTTCATTGATCTTCTCTATATACTTGTGATATCCAACACCCCCTCACCTCCCAATTGCCTTCTTTTCCTTATTTTTCTCTAGCTTCCACATATGAGAGAAAACATTCAACCCTTGATTTTTCTAAGTGTGGCTTATTTCACCTGGCATGATTTTCTCCATTTTCATCCATTTACTAGTAAATGCAATAATTTCATTCTTCTTTRTGGCCGAGTAAAACTCGGTTGTGTATATATCACATTTTTTTGATCCATTCATCTATTGACAAGCATCTGGGTTGATTCCATAATTTGGCTATTTTGAATTGTGCTGTAAGTATATAAACATTAGAGTGATTATTGCTATAGTAATTATTGCTGGTTTTAGTTCTTTTGGATAAATAGCAAGGAGTGGGATAGCTGAGTTACATGGTGGTTCATAAACATTCTTTTTTATTTCTTTTCATTTCTCTGGTTGTATTCGATGTAGAGTCACACCGGTACAGTYGTACATGTACCTAGGGYAATGATGTCCATCTTATTCCACCATCTTTTCTGCCCCCATACACGCTCCCCACTTCTCCCTCCCCTTTGCCCAATCAAAGTTCTTCCATTTTTTCCATCATCACCCCCCACCCACACACATGGATCAGCATCCACTTATCAGAGAGAACACTTGGCCTTTGGTCTTTTGGGATTGGCTTACTTTGCTTAGCATGATATTCTCCAACTCCATCCATTTACCTGCAAAAGCCATAATCTTATTCTCTTTTAATGCTGAGTAATATTCTATACCATAGCTTTTTTATCCATTCATCTGTTGAAGGGCATCTAGGTTGCTTACAGTTTAGCTATTGTGAATTGAGCTGCTATGAATATTGATGTAGCTGCATTACTCCAGTATGCTGATTTTAAGTCCTTTGAGTATAAATCGAGGAGTGGGATAGCTGGGTCAAATGGTGATCATAAACATTTTTGATCCTTATTTTTTGTGAAAAGTGTATAGAAGACTTTCTAAAGGCTGTATCCTTAGCTTTGTTCCTAAAGTATTAGTCCAAATAAATTACATAATGATAATTGCATTTAATTTTTCTAAATATTTGAGTTCTTCAATGATGATAGTACACTGAATTCTGATTGCAGGAACGTCAGGATCAGATTCCCCAGGACARGCTGTGGAAGCTGAAGAGATAGTAAAACAACTTGATATGGAACAGGTGGATGAGATCACTACCAGTACTACAACATCAAGTAATGGAGCAGCTTACTCAAATCAAGCAGTACAAGTGAGGCCATCGATAAATAATGGTTTAGAAGAAGCAGAAGAAACAGTTAATCGTGATATCCCACCCCTTACAGGTGAAGAAAATTCATTTTTTATGTGTCTTCATGAATAGTTTATAAAAATATGTATATCAGATTTTTTTCTTAATTGGGCAGATTAAATGCATAAACTTTTCTTCCTTGAAGTTAAAAAGAAAATTAAATTGAAAACAAAATTTTATCCCAGAAATCCAAAGTCATTATTTGCACTAGTCTTGGACCCTAGGTCTACAGTCCCTGCCTAGAGGCAGTGTCACAATTTTAGATTTATTGCATACATGAATGATGTACCCCCAAGGGGGATGTTTCTGGATCTCTCCCTATACCCAAATTTTGCAGTCTTATGGATCTTTCAAACTTCATTAACATAATTATTACTTTCTTAGCCAGTAGCCATTGAAATGTAGAAACTTTATGCATCTGAGAGGTAGAGTAGGTATACCTAGTATAAGATCAAATTGTGTTCCACCATTCCTGAAAGTGAAGTAAAATTGAGGATAGTCRGCTTCCTTCTGGGCAGACATTTTATCTTAGATATGTTTTCTGTTCCTTATGGTGCCAGATACTTGAGAGACCCAGTAAATGTATATTGGTTAAGAAGAATGGTTTGGCATAAAGAAGTAGAATAATGTACTTCTCTCATATATAAACAAGCAAACAAACAAAAAACACACACACAATAAAACAGCAGAAAACATTTAAAGAAAAAAATGCACAGAATTGTGAATCTTCTATATAGTAAAACTCATTAGCCAGGTGCAGTGGCGCACGCCTGTAATCCCAGCAGCTCAGGATGCTGAGGCAGGAGGATCACAAGTTCAAAGCCAGCTTCAGCAACAGCGAGGTACTAAGCAACTCAGTGAGACCCTGTCTGTAAAATAAAATACAAAATAGGGCTGGAGATGTGGCTCAGTGTTTGAGTGCTCCTGGGTTCAATCCCTAGAACCCCCTGCCCCCCAAYAATCAATCACTTATTAATACCAATATACAGAGAAAAAGCACCAAAATAGAGGCAAGACTTAATTTCATGAAGCCAAAAATTCTTAATTATACCGTTACGCCCAGAATTTAAGAATGATACTAAATCTAACAAGCAGATCAACAAGGTTATGCACAGATTAACTTACCTTTGACCAATGTTTTCATGCTGATTACATTGCCCAGGGTTATAAATCTAATGAATGGTAAAGGATAAAGTCCAGGACTCTGGGCTATAATAAGTCTTTGTATTTATTTTTTATGACAACTGTGAAGGTGGAAAAATGATTTCTGTAACCTTAATTTCTGGATAGGAAAAGTAAGACTTAATACAGTTGTCTCATTTATATCCCTACATTTATGAACACATTTTTTGTGATGGGAATTATTGAGAATGATGAATAAGGTACACTCCTTGACCCTAAAGAGTTCATGATCTGATTGAGGAGCCAGGTACGCAGAAAAATTACCATGTGGTGAGTGCTATTACAAATAAGTAAGCAAGATGATGTGGTGGCACACTGCAGTTACTCTGGGATGATGATGATAAGAGAACAGAGCCAAAGAAGAGAAGAAGGTAGCTTATTACCATTTTAAAGCTAAAAATTGTGTTTCAAACTGTCTCAAGACCCCAAAGTATCATTTGGAATATTAACAAACTTCAAAGCAAACTTAATAACGTATATATCTAACTCTACAATCAAAGGGGAAGAATTACTACCACAGCTTAATGGAGCCCAAAGTCTCTTGAGACAGTTTGAAACACAGTTTTCTTAAGTTTTAAAATGATAAATGGGGTATGTCTGTAGCCCCTCCCTTGTACTCTGGAGGCTTAGGTGGGAGGATCACTTGAGCCCTGGAATTCTGGACCATCTTAGGCAACTTAGACTTCACCTCAGAAATAAATGAATAAATGGTGGTAATAATAATACAGGGTTTTGAAGGCTAAATACAGTGAAATATGAAAGATGCATAGTATGTTGGAATTCAGTATATGTTCTATACTTTCTCTGAGGTCAGTAGGAATTTGGAACAGTGAAGTAGTTGGAAGATACATTTTTCATTATCCCCTTGTTAGTGAACTATTTCAGGTATAAATTGTCACAGATAAATAAAAATTTTGCTTTACATCTTATGTCATTTGAACAAACACATCAAAGTGACCTTGTCTAAGAAAGCCTAAATACATAATTATAAAAAAGGGTTAATTTTTGTCCTGAAACTTACCCTCTAACACTCCATTTCTAAGGATTGCAGACACTTTTATTGGGTTCCACCTAAAATCGTTGCCTTTGAGACATTACTTGTTTAGATTGTAAGGAACAATCTTCCTCTCCTTCAGTGTAAGTCACAGTTATTGTCTTAGGAAATTCTCAGCATGTTTCTATAGCATAATGTTTTTTAATTGATATAATCTTAGTTTAGACAAAATGAATTATATAGAATACAATTGTTCCTTAATTATTTTAAAGTTGTAAGTTAGAAGTAAAATATAAAGCTATTTTTTTTTTCTACATGCAGCAACATGTAGACATGATACATTACTTAACCATTTTTTGAGGGGGGGTGGGCTGGCAGTACTTGGGATTGAATCCATGGCCTTGCACACGCTAGGCAAGCGCTCTACCATGACCTGCATCCTCAGCCTCATTACTTAGCTTTTTAAGATCATAGATTCAACCTTGAGATTCCTGGGAAAATGTACACACTTAAGTCTTCGTGGGGTTCACGGACTTTTTAAAAATTATTTTTGACACGTGAAAATTGTGAAAACTGATGTAGTACCATGCAGTGTTTATATATATATATATATATATATATATATATATATATATAGTGTAATGTTTTAAAAATTATTTTTGACACGTGAAAATTGTGAAAACTGATGTAGTACCATGCAGTTTTTCAATACATATATATATATATAGTGTAATGTTTACATCAGGATAAACATCTGTCTTCTTAAACATTTATTATTTCTTGATGGTGAAACATTCAAAATCCTTTTTTTTTAGCTTTTGGAAGTGGACAGTACTTACTGTTATCTACAGTAACCCTACTGTGCAGTAGCATACCATTACCTCTCACTCCTCTCTAACTGTAACTTAGTACCCGTTGATCAATTTCTGCCCAACTCCTGTATACACTGATCTCTGGTAACCACCATTCTATTATCAACTTCTATGGTACTTGTCTTTCTGCACCTGGCTTATTTCAGTTAATGATCTGCAGTTCCATTCATGTGGTTATAAATGAATGATTGGACTTCTTAAAGACTGTTCATGAATCTCAGATTTTAAAACTATGTTTGGGGCTGGAGATGTAGCTCAGACGTAGAGCACTTGCCTAGCATGTGTGAGGTCCTGTGTTAAAGCCGCACTGCTACCACAAAAACAACAACAACAACAACAAAAGATGTAAACTTGAAAACAAGTGGAAAATTCTGAATAAAATTAAATATGTGTATAACCCGAAACTTAAAAATAAATAAGTAAATAAAGACCATGKTTGGATCTGTTGTTAGCATATATTTATTGACTACCTATATGTACAAGGCACTTTGTGGTATAGTTTTGATACAAAAACAAAACTTTATGGTTATCACATATAATCACTATCCAGTTAGAAACTGGATTTTTGTGGGGTATTATTTTTAATAAGTAGTAATTTCTTTCTACTAGTCATGATATTTGTTATTCTATCTGTAGTGATAGGTTTTCTCCTTTGAATGTAGTTAATTATGTTACTAAATTTGCTTTAAAATGCTGTGTAGTTACAAGTTACTTTTGTCTTTAATCTTATATATTCAGAGCCTCAGGAAGATCTTATATAGAAATAATAAAAATGCATACTTAAAGGAAGCAATGAGTGAGTAAAAGTAACATCTTCTTTTCATTTTATTAAATAGCACCAGTAACTCCAGAGAGTGGTTATTCATCAGCCCATGCAGAAGCCACCTATGAAGAAGACTGGGAAGTATTTGACCCGTGAGTTATCTGGTTTAAAATTTTTTCTCTTTACTTAATAACTTTTCAAATTTATGTTGATGCAAAAGCTGGCACTTTCAGTAGAAACCTTAATTTGAATTTTGATTTTTATCCTGGGCTAGTATTACATGGTAGAATACTCTCTTGTGATGCTGAGTAGCAAACTGTAGTTCCCCATCAGCCATGTGATCATGAGGGTAAATAATTGATATTCTGCATTTTACTTTGTTGCTAAACATCAAAGTTTGGCCTTTTAGCTATATTAAATGATTTTCAACTTAAGATGCATTTATTGGGATGATTATAGTGACACTCTCCTGTAATCTTGGAGACCACAAGGCAAGAGGAATGCAAGTTCAAGGTCAACCTGGACAACTGAGTGAGACCCTGTCTCCAAATAAAAGATTTTTTAAAAAGCCAGGAACGCTTGGGGCTGGGATTGTGGGTCAGTGGTAGACCACTCACCTAGCATGTGTGAGGCACTGGGTTCAAACCTCAGCACAGCATAAAGATAAATAAATAAAGGTATTGTCCATCTACAACTAAAAAGTAAAGATATTTTTAAAAAAGCAAAAAAAAAAGGAACACTCAGTGGTAGAGGACTTGCCTAGCATGCTCATGTCCTGGGTTCAACCCCCGTAACCAGTGTACACAGTGGGTTTTATAGAGGGAATCTGATAGTGAGGAGCATCTGTTTTAGGAAGAGCATGTGATCTCTAGGTATTAATATCTTTACTGAGACATGGAGATACTAATTTGTATATTTTCACTTTTACTTACATGTTTTTACTGGGTTAAATGGGCTTTATTAAAGATTTTTAAATGTACTAAATTTAATAATATGCTTTATGTTTATAAAAATAGAAATATTGAACTTTTCTTAAAATTTGATTTATAGCTATTATTTCATCAAACATGTTCCACCACTGACAGAAGAACAACTAAATAGGAAACCTGCTCTTCCATTGAAAACAAGAAGCACACCAGAATTCTCCTTAGTTTTAGACCTGGTAAGTGTATTATCTATAGAGGAAGAGAGAATAAAGGAGTTAAATTCTTTTTTAAAGTAACACTGAAAATACAAATRAATAATAATGAGTAGCTATCACACTTAAAATAATGACGTCCTGGGTTTCTGGAATGTTCTTTTTAAGTATAGTCTAATGCTAGGGTTCCACATTTGGTTGGGATCAAGTATCCTTTGAGAATAAACCACATTTTTAATTTTTGTATTTAAATGAGTTTTCTCCTCCATATTCCTGAGACCCTTGTGATTTGTTATTTGTTTTTCTGATGCTGGGGATGCAACCCAGGGCCTCAGTTATGCTAGAAGAGTATTTTACCACTAAGCTACATACTCAGCCCCATGATTTGTTTTTCTGTCTTCTAAGAAATTCTAATTTCGGGGCTGGGGATGTGGCTCAGGCAGTAGCACGCTCGCCTGGCATGCGTGCGACCCGGGTTCGATCCTCAGCACCACATACAAACAAAGATGTTGTGTCTGCCGAGAACTGAAAAATAAATATTAAAAAAAAAAAAGAAGTTCTAATTTCATTTCATTAGAATTGTGCCTACATTTTAGATTCCCTCTTTCTTGTCAGGCTCTCAAGTTTCCCCAAAGGACTAAAAATAATTTAGGTCTCATTGAGTTAATGGCAAGATATATTCCGTTTCATATTTTTGTTTTTGCATATTATCTGATACCAATAAACTTTTCACCATGAGATTGGTGGCACACACCTGTGATCCCAGCGACTCAGGAGACTGTGTCAGGAATCCCAGTTCGAGGTCAGCCTCAGCAACTTAGCAAGACCTTGTCTTTAAACAAAAAATTTTAAAAGGGATGGGGACAGGGGCTGGGGAATATAGCTCAGTCGGTAGAGTGCTTGCCTAGCATGCATAAAGCCCTGKGTTTAATCCCTAGCACCACCAAAACAAAGAAATAAAGCAGCACCAAAAAAAAAAAAAAAWWWTTTTTTTCATGAACAGTGTCAAAAGCATAATCTCTTAATGCTGGTGATGAAAGATTTTAATATGTTCTAAATGTGATTTAAAATTTGTATTTTAAGAGCCAGGCATGGGCTACTAGGGAGGCTAAGGCAAGAGGATCACTTTAGCCTAGGAGTTCAAGGTTAGCCTGGGCAACAGAGCAGGACCACCATCTTTAAAAAAACAAAAACCCCAAACCTATCTATTTTAGAGTACTAGAAGAGCTAGTAAAACGGAATATTTCATTTATTTTGCTAATACAATTTAATATGTAGTCATCACATTTACTATCTGCTTACATACATTTTCATGATATTTAGAAGAAAAAGAGAAAGATGTATTTTTGATTATGATTCATTTAGATTTGATATGCAAGTTAAAGATGAAAATGAGAAAGATTTTACTATTAGGAGCTGATGTGGTTATGATATTAAGTTTTCCCACATTATTTTGGCTTCAGTGTAAAAGAAAGATTGAGCATAAATAATCTTAGAGAACTAGATGGAGAATGATCAGATCTTAATAGGCTATAGTTGAAGCAGTAGAATTAGTTATGATTCATTTATAGGAAAGAGAAATCATTTTCTTTTAAGAATAGTTTTTATTTCAAGTGACATTGATAAATTTACAGTGACTTCTAGGGTAAATGATTGAGAACCACTCTGAAACTATAGAAGGACTGTGATTTATTAACCATGCCTGTAAAGGACACAAAACAGTGGAGAGTAGCATGCCAATTATTACTTTAGATAGATTTGTCTATAAAAAGAAATAGAAAAACATGCATTTTATGAGATACTGAAAAATGATGACTATTCCTCCAATATTTGTTTAAAAATTTGAAGTGTGATGGTAAATCGTATACAATCATAGAAGTAATACTTTGCTGAAGTTGGGTACAATGAATCAAATGCATTCTGCTGTCATATATATCTAATTTAAATAAATAAATAAAWATTTTAAAAGAATACATTTTCTTAAGATGCTAACAGCAATACCTTGAAATGTGTGCTGTGTTAAGCATGTATTTTTTTGCCTCCTCATAGTTTAACTTTTTTTGTTGTTGTTTTGTTTTTAGTTGTAGATGGACATGGTATCTTTATTTTTCCTTATTTATTTTTATGTGGTGCTGAGGATTGAACCCAGTGCCTCACATGGGCTAGGCAAGCGCTCTGCCACTGAGCTACAGCCCTAGCTCTCATTGTTTTACTTTTAAGTTAAAAACAAAACAAAACAAAAAAAAACACCCAGTAGTGCTGGGGCTGGGGCTCAGTAGCAGAGCGCTTGCCTAGCCCATGTGAGGCTAGTTAATAAGATGTGGAATCACAAACTTTGATCATTGTTGTTGAATTTTAATTGATGTTAACCCATTTGGCTCATTGGCCCAGAAATGGAATACCTATAAAAACTTGAATTGAGCAACAAATATACCACTTATGGTAACTTTGACATAATATTTGAATTTTTGTTATGTTCTCAGAGATGAAAACTTGGAACTTGATAGTTAATAAACACATTGAAAATTTAGAGGGTAGTCATTAGTAGCTTTTTKTTGTTGTTGTTAAATGCTTTCGTTAATACTAACAGAAGGCTTGTTTTTTTGTTTTTTTAAGCATTCAAGATTTAAGGAATGTAAATATTTGCATCTATCTTACATTGAACAATCCTTACTTTCTTATTCTCTTAATGAGAAAACAGGATTTGGGAATAAAAGATGACAAGTTTTCATTGCCTGCTATTTAGTTACATAATGTGGATGAAATGTATTCATGATAAAAACATCTATTTCTAAAGTAAGATTCTTTATATATAGTTTGATGATAAGGAGCTATATGAAATATATATGTATTTGTGTGTATGTGTGTGTGTGTGTGTGTAGAGAGAGAGAGAGATTTCTATAGGTATATATATAGATACAGATATACATATTTAAAAAAATAGATTTTAAACTTACATTTGCTAATTTTATTAAGAAAAAAACGTGTTTTCTAACAAAGTTGGCAGCTGCAGAACTCAGAGCAGTGGTTCTCAAACTTAAGCATGCATCAGAATTTCCTGAATCGCTTTTTAAAACAAAGATTGCTGAGGCCCTCCGCCCCCTGAGTTTATGAACCTTCAGAAATAGAGCTGGAGAATTTTGTTTTCATTTGTTACTAGTTTCCAGATGTTGCTGATGCCTTTTATTGGTCCAGGAACTGCACTTGAAAACTATTGACTTTAGAAAATCTTATCTTAATAATAATGTATTATATACATAGAATTCCACATATGAAATAGATGCCTTAATAAATGTTTTTGGTAATCATTACTACATAAAATTATCATTTGAAGGGTTTTTAAAAATCTTATTTCATTTATTGAATATGTGTTTTTTATTTTAAGGATGAAACACTAGTGCATTGTAGCCTAAATGAGCTAGAAGATGCAGCACTTACTTTTCCAGTCCTTTTCCAAGATGTCATTTATCAGGTAATTTTTAAATTTTTAACTTGATTTTTGGTCTGTTAGGGTAACATTCTGAGTTAAAAAACAAAAACAAAAAAAAAATTTTTGTGTGTGTGTGTTTGATGTTCAATGTGTTTTTCTATAGACTTCCTGATTGATTTCATCAATATTTTAGTGGCCTATTAACACAAAGTAGCATCATGTTAGATAGTTACATAAAACAACATTAATTTGCTACCAAAAAAATACTAACTTTTCTTACCCAGTGATGTCTGCTAGTTTTTTTAATTTATTTGCCAGCAGGTGGAGGCAGGAGCACTGACATAGTTCCCCAAGAGGACTTTGCTAGGTTAACACCTGGTGTTTTTTCAAAAATTCAATTAATAAAAAGAAAACTCATTCCTTGTTGGTCGTTTTATTTCCTATAGTAATGTGTGCAAAATTGTAGTTTGTTAGATCTACTTTATGTTAATCACAGAATTCCAGGACACTCTTCTAGTATGGGTATAAACATTTATCTCATCTGTGCTGATGGACAGGTAACAGTGCAAAATATATATATCATTTAGATTTCACCATGGATTATATGTGTTGGCAATTTTTTTTTWATTTTAAGATTCTCTCTGTTTTAAGAGTGAATTAATTAAATAAGCAAATATACTTGCAAAATTACAAAGTACCTTTTTATGATGGCAGTTGTATTATTAATTAGCATTAACTTTATATGTACTATATGTTGAAAGATGGGGGAAGTGTTAAAAGAGTTTGTAGTCTTTCAAGAGGAAGCCAACCCGGATTAACTAAATTCACGGATCATTTACCATGTAGATAATGAAAAGGTCTTTATGGTTGTTTATGTGCTCTTAATAGGCAGTTATAATGAGGTCATAGTTTTCTTGGCTGATTTTAGTTGGTATCTCATAGGAATCATGAAATTCCTCAGCTATATAGAAGTTTGTGCTTCAGGGCTACTTTATCAAATACTTCATCTGGTAATGAATCATAAGAAGATTTATTTTTGCAGTAATTGTCAGGTCTAATTTAACCTAGATAGGTGTTACAGGTGTGATAATACCTGAATACCATATATACCTTCCTTTTATGTAAACTGATTTAAGTCCTGGTATATAATCAGAAGATGAGCAAAATATGCATAAAAATGGGATTTTAAGATCTTTCTGTTCCTTTTGAATTGGTTATTGGTTTCAGGCAAATCTTTTTTTAAAACATTATACATTGCTTTTGTTTAGGTGGACTTCAAGGACAGTAGTCATATGGCAAATACATATAAGTATAGCAACAACTTAAGTTTTCTCTTTTTAGCTTAATAACCTTGTTGGTGTTTAGTTGGTTTTTTTTTTTTTTTCTTTCTTTTGGATAAGATTGCACAGTGGCTTTAGCGGTTTGAATTTGGAAGGGAAAGCTATTTGAAAAATAGGTAAATAATGATTTTTAGATGACTCATTAAGCTTCTAGATTTGAAATTTATTTCATACAGATAGATGGCTTTTGGTCTGTTTAGGTAGTATTGATAGTGAAATAAGAAACCTGGAAAGGAGATAATTTGGTTCTTTTCAGTATGATCATATAATTGAACTTTTTTCTTATTTTCACCATTTCTGCTTTAACTCTTCTTTTTAAAAGTTCTTATTTCATGCGGATCTGGATAGTTGTTGTGGTTTGAATAAAAGGCTTATAGGAGTACATATGACTAATAGTTTAAAAWATTATGTATGTACTGAATGTCTCTGGATTTCTAAGAAATATTTTTTGTTATATATTTTTAGTTACACTTTCTGAAATTGAAAAATAAATAATCTAAATAACATTGAGCAGGAAGTTTGAATCTTAGAAGCTCTGATTATTGAATTTTAATATTATGACTAATTTACTACATCAAGGACAGGGTTTAGTTCCCCTTTAGTAAATTTTTGAGGATGTCCATAGTTAACATTGGGTACATTCCTTTGGATTTCTGGTGTTGGTATGGCCATTCTGTCTGCTTTTTTAAAATAACTGAAGAAATCTTTGGGTTAGGGTTCCCCCAGTTTTTTCAGACCAGCAAGCTCCCTTTAAACAGGGAATGATGTCTTTTAAAATTTCAGTGGTGTTGTCTCCATCTACTGGCAAAGAAGAAATATACACAAGGGTCTGAGATGATCTAACAGATTTTGGAGAAACCACATTATTAGGTAAGATGTAACTTACATATTTAACCACTGTACTGTAATGTGGCCCACTTAAAGGTAGAAACCTGTAAAGTACTGTATATACTCTTATTTAAAGAATACCTTATTGAGGTAAAATTTAAATGACATAAAATTAACCCTTTTTCAGTAAATAGTTACCTGGCATTTATCTGTATCCTCTTTAATATGTCAGTTCCATAGCATTTACACCCACATGCATGCATATGCACATACACACACTCAAACATATACTCTCAGTTAAAATAGGATCAACTTATCTAGGCCAGATAAAGCATCCTATTGGGACTTTTATTTTCTTTTTGTGGTAAGTTTGTTTTGGTTTACCTAATTTTAATTCTACATTTTCTTTCATTTCAAAACAATTAAATGTAAATATATCTTAATAATTGTCTGTATCAGGAGTTGGCAAACTTCCATAAAGGGCCAGTAATAAATATTTTAGGTTTTGTTTATATGTTGCAGCTACTATTTCTGCCATTACAACATGAAAGTAGCCAGAAACAAAAAGTATGGCTGTATTCCAGTAAAACTTTATTTATAAAAATATACTTATGCTGGATTTGGCCAGTTGGCCTGTATACTGACCCATGGTATAATAATTATGAGAGTATATACAGTAAATTTACATATTGAGATTCTAAGTGGAAGCAAGTAAATGTTCATCAAAATTCTTGTTACTGTATATAAAAATTTTAAATTAGATCCACAGAAATCTGGTTGTGGGCTTTTCTAGTTGGATTTTTTTTTTCCTTAGATCAAAACTTGAGGGAATTTTTGAGGTAGTCACTACTGAACATTTAAAGATTGCCTGACTCATAATACTCGTCTTTTGATTGATAAGTTTATTCAACTTGGTTAATGTAGGTCTTAGAATTCTTACGCAGGTAGATTATTGAATTCTAAATTTARTATTATTTTAATTCCATTTGTCAGGGGATAAAACATAAATGATCCATCCAGAGTAAAAGTTATAATATATGTTATTACTGACACTATACAAAATAGACGGATTATAGTTTGTATTTATGGAGAAAAGTCACTTGAAAGAACTGACCTTTTCAAATGAGGATATGGCACTCACAAAGGCAAAGTGTGTACAGAATTTTGTTTGAATTGGTATTTTTTAAAATCTTTTCCTAAAAATTTGTTTTATAATTAGTTATTGGGAAAAACATTTATTCATAAAATGGTTCAAATACATGTGATACCTGGAAAAACAAAGTGCCTGATCACTTCCAGTGCACATGTTTAATCTTTATATTTTGTTTATATTGACACATTATCAGGAAATCCATCTCATGGTGTTACTTAGTTAAGAGGTCTCCACTGTATTTAGTTTCTGTTCCTGCAGATCCACCAATTCAAGACTCTAGGTCATCTCACTCCCTCTTCCATCCAGAAGATGACTTCTATCCACAAGCAGGACTGAATCAAAAGACATTTTTCACTTAGCTCTTGAGCTGAAACACCTCCTCAATGACCTTCCTCTGTCTCCATCAAGAACTGGAGCTCAGTTTTTTGAAGATGTAATAGAGCTATTCAGCCCAAACATGGCTGATTGAAGACAAAAAGAAGATACCTCATATGTTTGACCACAGTGCAGACAAACGTAACTGTGTTGTCCAACTCCTCATTGTGTAAAGTATGGCAGGGGCATTTGATTTTTGACTCTGTTCACCAATAAGACTTTAGCCAGTCAGTGGCTTTTGAAGATCAGTAAAATCAACAAAACTTTGGGTCAGCTGTCCAGAAATCAGATTGTGGTAAGCACTCAAGGAGAGATAGGTAGGACCCTGTAGGGAGCTACTTTTAAAGGATGCTTTGTTTTATGCTAGAGATGGCTTTTATGGGAAAAGTTGGAGGGACAGGTGGGTGGAAAACTTCACGATTAGCAAAACTTAGCCTTTTCCTATTTTTAGTGTCTTGGAAATCTTAGTTTAGGATGATTTTCATACCATGGAACAAGAGAAATAGAGCTTCAGTGGCTTCTGTCTCTTCTGCAGCCTTTCATAGAAAAGTCAGATTTGTTTTTTCTTCATAAATGGAAAAAATCATTTAAGTGAAGAACTTTGTAGTGAATACCTAGTTTAATTTTGTCTTCTCCCTAATTCTGACTTAATAGAGTCATTTTGTTGAGTTTCATAAAGCATAATTTTGTTAAATAATTTAAAGTACTATTTCACGGGAACAGTGGTGCATATCTGTAATTCTAGTAACTCAAGAGGTTGAGGAAGGATTACAAGTTTGAGRCTAGCTTTGGCAGTTTAGTAAGCCCCTACCTCAAAATAAAATAAAAAGGGGCTGAGGATGTAACAAGTTTAATCTCTGTTACCCTACCCCAAAAGTAGTATATGTATTTGTGCCTTAAATATAACATTTGGAGTCATGGATACTTATTATTTGAGGATAATATTTTAGCTGATGAGTAATAGTATTTCAGTAATTAATTGCAAATAAATATTAAAAATTAAAAATACTACTTTTAGTAGTATTTTAATAATTTTAAAGCAACTTTCCCATCCTTATAAGTATGGTTGGTCATTTGGTACTAATTTTTTCATCCTAATTATTAATTTACAGGTTTAAAAAGATACAGATAAAACTTTAGTTTTCTTGGTTTTGTTGTTTTTGTTTACCATCCCCCCTACCAATCCACAATGCTGAGGATTGAATTCAGATGTGCTATACTACTGAGCTACCTTCCCAGCCCTTTTATTTTGAGAAGGGGTCTTACTAAGTGTCATGGCTGGCCTAGAACTTGCAGTTCCTTCTGCCTCAGCTTCCTGAATTGCTGGAATTATAGGCGTGTGCCAC